GAGGTAGTTTAGGTAGAAGATTAGGTAGGGTTTTGGGAAGGGAAGTGTGATGGAGGATGGTGAAGAAGAAGTTTGTTGAGCGTGCGGGGATTTTGGGGATGGAGTTGGCGGTAAGGATGGTGGTGTAGATGTATTTGAGCAAGTGGGCGGTGGTGAGACGTGCCACGGGGCTCCCCGGGCGGTGGGGTCGATGGATTTGGCGTCTTCGAGGAGGATGGAGCGGTGGAAGGCGATGACCTCTGCGAGGGGGAGTTCGGGTTCGAGGCCTTCTTTGAGAAACAAGTCGTCCCAGGGTTTGGGTTTGACGGATTCCTTGATATCGGAAGGGCCACCAGAGCCTCCTAAAGCGGTAAGGAAAATGCTGCTGCCCTTGTTGTACGAAGCGCCAATGGTATCCGGGAGGGGCTTGAGATCAGGTGGCTGGAAACCCCCGAGGGCTTTGAAACTCGTCCATCGTTTCGCGCTGTAGTGTTTCTTCCAGATGTTGGGTTCGATGCCGAAGAGTCGTTTGAACGTTTGATACCGCATTCTTTGAACCATGTCATGGTGACCACCAGTGGTGAGCTTGGTGAGGGCAATGTGAACAAGCTGGACATAAAAGTAGGCTTTTGTTTCTGAAAATGGTTCCAAACCCGAAGATGGCTTTTCAGCAAAGACCCCAGTGCGAGCGTCCACTGGCGCCCTCATACGCATGAACTGTTGACGCAGGGCATCAAACCCTCGCTCGATGAACCAGCTTCTTCGTCGGGTTTCACCCTCGCGCAGATACCGCTGGACAATGGCAAAGGCCATGTTGAGATAGCGCTCGTGCTCAAAAGGTTCCGGCGCAGAGTTGTTGCCGAACCCAAAAAAAGACCTTGGAGCTTTTCTGGGTGGCTCAAGAGGCTTGAGATTGGGTGAAACATAATACCGATGAGTATAGCACATGTTCTGAAGATACACGCTGTAGTACTGGTCGATCAGCTTGCGGTCAAGGAGTTCCGGGCCTTTAGCGAGCACCATGTCGAACGAGGGCGGTGTGAAGTGCTTGTCATCAGTTGAAGATCCTTGCGCAGCCTCAATAGCCGATTTGATTTGATAGAGCCAAAAAACAGTTTCTGTTCTGCGTGGTGTGAGACGATACTAAGATCTCGACAGTGACGACTAGGAAAACTCACCGTGACTCAGGCTGATGGTTCAACCGGGACGCCCGCTGCTTCAACGAAAGCATGTTGGCGGCGAAGTCGCTGGCTATCTCGAGGAGACCGCGATCTCTATTTTCGTGGAGAAGAATGGTCATGTAGGCAGCCCGAACGTAGTCCCTGTGACGCCATGGAAGCAGAGTGCCGTGGATGAAGGCATTCCAAAATTCATGGTCAGGTCGGTCATTTTTCATAGCCTTTTCTTGAGTGGACGACATTGGTTCCAAATCAAAGTTGAAATCCCGGTTCAAAAGCGGAAGTCCCAGTTCATTGATGGTGAGGGAAAAAGAAGAAGAGATTATGCGCGAGTGTTTATACAAGGTAAACAAAAAGACAGACTTGACGATTGCGCGTCCCTTTGACCATCTAGCTTTCAGCTTGCGCAAAGGATACCGAAATAGGTGGCGCCAACCAGGCTCCCTCATTTGCTAACACCCCCTGAATCTTGCCTGTTTTGGTGCTGCCTAGACCATCAACCATCCCAAGAAAACACCCACTAACGATTAACCAGCGACAGCCAAGACACTACAGAATACCACCCCCAGCCAAAGCAAAGTTTCTCAGGGTCCCGTAAAGACTCACAGTCAACGTCACTTGGTTCGTCAGGCTTGAAAGGTTCGCAACTGACAAGGAAGATGTGTCTTTGGCAAGGAAGATGTGTCTTTGGCAAGGAAGCTGGCGACACGGTTGGCGACCCAGATGGGGTTCTCATCAGCAGTTTACGTGTCAGTCAACCAGTCTACCAGAATACCATATCATGAGGAGGACTCACCGATCCAGTGTCCTGCTTTGGGCACAATATCAACTTCCAGAGTCTCGGTAAGATTCTCAAATGCGGGCCGTGTGAGGAAAGACATCAGCGCCTCGCCTCCCAGAGCAAGTGTCGGGACAGTCAGCTTCTTCTTCCCAATAGTGGATGTAAAGAACTTTGCGCCATCGGCCACGATCCTGCTCTCGAACGGTCCGAACATGGCCCGGAGGTACCCCCGCTTGAAGATGGAGGTCGCATATCTACTCAACGTCTCCTCCGAAATGGACGATCCACCCGAATAGCTGCCGTGATAGAAATACCAGGAAAGCATCTCTCTTTCACGACCTCGGATGAAGAAGTCGGCTGCGTCTGGGACGCTGAAGAAAGCCAGCTGCCAGTTTCCATACAGGTCCCAGTACGGCCCAAGGACTGAAGCTGCCTCGTATCCAAAGCCGGGCAGGACATATTCGGAGACACCCAGTCTCTTCACAAGCGATGGGCATTGAATGGCGAGGGCAACTGCCATGCCTGCGCCCTTGTCGTGGGAGAACACGTAGGTCTCGGTGATGTTGAGAAAGTCGAGTACACCTTTGAGGTCGGCAGCGCTCGCGGTGGCACTGTAGTTGCCGTCTGGTGGGATGGACGAATCTCCAGCTCCGCGGTTATCCGGGGCGATGGCAGTGAAGGATTCGGCAATGACCGGACCAATCCACTGCCACGTCAAGCTATACTGAGGGTTGCCATGAATGAGAAGCAAAAGGGGACCACTGCCGGCATAGCGAAAGTGTATTGAGACGTCTTCAAGGGCGACTCTTCCATGGGCCCAGTCATCCCACTTGGTCAGAGAGACAGTGGACTGGGCGAAGAGGGTCGCTGCTAGTGTAACTGTGGTGAAAAACTTCATCTTGGTGAGAGTCGGAATGCCGTTGCTGAAACTGGTGGTGGATACTGGAATTGAAGTTGAGTGAGCAGTCTACAGCTGGATATACCTTCAAAATCAAACACCATCATCAAAGTGCTGAATAATACCTTCTCTCCATCTTTTATCGTTTGCTCCTTTCGTCCAAGTCTAATTCCGACGCTCCGAATGCGATGGCCACATTGCACGAGCCAGGCACTGGCTTGTTGGTGCTGGATTGGCATCAAGGCTTGCTGACGCCAAGCAGTCTGTAGATGGTTTTGGAACAGCCAGAGCAATATCGGAATCTGGACATGGGCGATTTCCATTTCCGTTTTGGGACCTGAGCAGTCGCCGCTTTAACCTGAGCAGAAGTGGAGATCTCCTGAGCAGGGGGAACAAGAGCCTGAGCAGGCCCTGAGCACGGTGAGCAATGATTGAATCCACCTGAGGCCAGGCTGGAGGTAGACCATGGCAGAGCTGTTTCTGGAATATATACCTATTCCACGATAATTGTTATTAGTACTGCAGGGGGATTTTAGTGGAGTTACTAGAAAATAACCCTAGCTGTATTACTAAATATTCCGTTTAAGGTAATGTTAGGTATAAAAGCTATAACAGGGAACTAATGTCTCCATTTAAGTCAGTTTCTGAGTTAGTTTAAATCAGGCAAGTCTTCTCCCGTTCCTGCATCCGGGATCACCGAAAACTTGGATTGTTCCTAACTTGATTGAGCACTGTATGGAAGATCACATTTTCACACTGGTCATATGAAAAGCCAGAAACGGCCTTTTCATTTTGCCTGTGTAGGCAGCGATGGTCTCCTTGGCTGAAGCCAGAAACAGCTTTTCTGTTTTGACATAGGTAACATAAAAAACCGCTGCCTCGATTGAGGCAATAAATGCTTTTTTATTTTAATGCAAACAAGAACCCACGCTTTCAGATTCTTACAGCACTGTATGGTTAGGCTCTCGAAGCAGCGCTGAGAGCACGATCTTGAACTATAGGTGGACGTTATCTGCCTCCAAAACTGGCTTCTACTGCACACAGAGTCATTTTTGGCGGCTGGACTCCTTGCAAGGAAACCGGGAGCTGGGCTTTGCAAGGCTTCCTTGCAACCTGGCAAGGGCAGATGCATAGCGCCAAGTGGTGGATCAGAAACCGTAAATCCGACGAGAAATATCGGAGTTTGTGAAGACGGTTGGATTAAGCCATGTTAATATACGTGCTAAGGTGTTAATAATTGTGGACCGTCTCGGCGGACTTCTTCCTGAGGGTAAGCCACTAGTTTGAGGAGCATTTGACATGAGAGGCGAAAAACTCAAGAAGAAAACAACTGCCAGGCGTGTAACACCGCAACGAAATGATCATCACCGGCAGGAAAAAAGTCCTACGGTAAGAACCAGTGGGACCCCACACATCTGGAAGGGTCCTGACCAAAGAGCAACAACTCGTTTTTCGGAGTGGATACTGGAAGAATACCTGGAGAAGGACAATGGCTCACAGATATCCAGAATACCCTGGACACTCTTCTGGTAGAGAGCAGGAAGTATTGTTCGGCTTCCCGACGAGGATGTAGTTTAACTGGCAAGTGCGAACCAAGGAATGGACTGATTCACCTCGAAGTGAACGCAAGACCCAAGAAGACGCTCAGAAGTTTACCCAACTGATCAGAGGGTGCGTGAAATTTGCCAAGGACACTATCGTCAAATCTCAACCGCGACAGGTAGCTCAAACAAACCGTCACCGACACGAACCTGACTTCAAGCCCGGCGACCGAGTGGTATTCTCAAGCAATCCGCAGTGTTCACGGCCGACCACCTGAGAAATTCCCGAACAACCCATTGCCCGGATAAGCGTGAGAAAACACGCCAGGAGAGCCAATGAAATCTACTGGTGGATCCGAGCATAAAGCCTCAAAGATCCTCGCCAGCCGTACCCACCACGGGAAATTGTAGTACCAAGCTCAGTGGAAAGGCTAGGACCCGGATGTAACGGCCTCAAGGCAGTGTATTGCAACTAGCTAGGCCACTCTACGAGTACACTGAACTTGAGAAGAAAAGAAAAGAGAAAGAGAAGGTTTGACAACATGAGCCTCTGATATGGCTGGGCGTGTTGGCCAGTGCGCGGTGATAGAAGGGTTCTGGAGTAGTGGTCTGTGCGTTCTGGGAATAGCTTCATTACGGCCGAGGGTTGCCGAGGTCTATGCCAGGGCTCAGCCCGTTACACCGGACACGGAATAGTACCCGGCAAGCGACTTCAAATATTCACCAAACCTTTTACGGCGGTTTTACCATGAGAATTCGGACAAGGCTGGCCCGCCCCGAACGCTAAAAGCATAGCTATAGGAAGAAGAGAACGACGAATTTACAGAGGTTCTACAAAGTTTTAACCAGACAAAGCAATCACTTATTCATATACCTTCCCAGTTATCGGTCGTTAGGCCATTTCTTCCTTTCTTTCTACACCCTAAAATCAACGATCATACAATAATCTACTATTAGTAGCCTTGTCCTTCGTGAAATATTAGATGCTCATAATGTCAAATCTTCTCCTTCTATTTTCTTCTCCAAGCTCAGTGTACTCGTAGAGATGGCCAAGCTCGTTGTAATACACTACCTTAAGACCATTACATTCTGCATCCATAAAGAATTTTACCCCGCAGAAATGCCCGCCCGTCGTCTCTTCTCTCTCATAAACCCCCATGAAACTTGCCACACCAGGATTGCAGTTGGAATGCCGAGTAAGAGGGCCCCTATAGCTGCCCAACCCAGTATTACAGCAATAGAGAACACCCAGAACGCCCGGCCGATACTTTGTAGTTTAGACTCTCCTAGTCCATGAAACCACGGGTCGTCTGTCGGCACCGAGAGTGCAACTTGCATTGATGACAGAGCGAGGGATATACCGGCAAACAAGAACAGTAGAGGTACGGTCGCTCTCGCCACAAAAGCGGTGATAGACCAGTGCGGGACCTCGTAGAACCACCAAGTTCGCGCGTGCTGTGGGCGGAACACGCGGACGGCCCAGTTCAGCCACGAGAGGCGCAGCTGTCCGTAGTGATATCGCTTCGCAACGTTCTCATCAGAGAGGTGATAGAAATGGCTGATGAATTTCGACCATTGAAACCAGTTCTCCACGTCGCCAGGGATAAGGTGGGCTTCTTTCGCTAATTCGAAATCCAGACGGTGCGGCACGAGCAAAGCATATGACCGCAAGAATCCAGTCGCAATCGAGCTGTCGAAGCCCAACTCTTTGGGCATCCCACAAGATGAGTCCTGCGTCGAGGTCTGTAGATATGTTGTCCAAAATTGATAGTTGAGAAGGAATACTGGAACAGGCTTTATATAGATCCTGTCCCGGTGCCAGGTGAGATGGAGCCTAGGATCCTCGGTAGGGACAATGCTTCGACCTTTGACCTTTTGTGTATGGAGCGGGTCGATGTTTCGACCGCATTTCTTCGCAATAAGCCAGAGATTTTCGTAAAGCTCATCGAGGAGCGGAGTATCCAGGTGACTCGAGATATGAATGCGGACTTGGTCGGGGAGTAGTCTGACAGCGGGCTCTCCTGGAACATGCGTTATAGGCCCCGCCTTATTATCTGGCTCGGATTGCGCATTCTGAACAGTCACTTCATCGTAAGGGCTGAGACGATCTCTGTTCGGAGCAGAGGATGGAGGGAAAGGAATATGGGAATAACTAGACATTTGGTATTTTTGATGGTTAAGCTGAGCGGCGGACATGTCCAAGGGCGTCTTTTTGAGGGGAATTTCACCAAACCACAGATCCGCGGGGCTGTGCATATTGCAGGCCTTCATCGGGTTGGACCCGTAACGACTTGCCACACAGCCGCCTCTGGTTGACCAAACGAAGATTTTCATTGGCCTGTATTTCGCCCTATATTTATCATTTTGTATCGGCCCTACCCCGCTCACCCAGAACCACTCTGTGAAACATAAAAAGAGAAGTGCCACGGCCTGTGACCACCGAGGACCTTTTCATGAGTTGAATTAAACCATATTTGCCTATTGTTACAAGCCTAGTGCTAGTACCACTACACTCCTCACACCCGTCATCCCCACCGCGCGATGGGCCTAGCTATATATCTGGTCATCTTCCTGCTCTCGATTGCAGTCCTCTACTACCAGGCCACGAAGAGCATCCCCAGCCGACTCAACTCCGACCAAGCTCCGAAATCAAGATTTGAGCTCGTTCCAGCGTGCGCCAGTGGTTTACCGACGAGGGCGGACGGGATTGAGTAGGCACCTCTAGCGCTACTAGGAGTGAAGCTTTCTGACAGAGGCAGTATTATCTTTGTACACGGCCTCGGGTCCAACCCCGACTCGACATGGCGGGCGACGAAACATGCGACGAGACAAGCGACGACGGCCGATATACCTGAAGAAGCGGCGACGGACAACGAGCAGTTTGTGAACTGGGTCAGCGACTTTCTCCCTAGTGACCTCCTTCCGGCGGTCAGCAGAGATGTCCGCCTATTCTTTTACAACTACGATTCATACTGGAAGAGGGATGCGGTGCACACACGCTTGACAAACCTCGGGAATGAACTGCTTGAGCATATTGGAGGGATCCGGATGTCCGAGACGGTGGGTGTGAAGATAGACCCAGCTTTGGACTCGACTCTTGGGGCACTGCTAACGCACTCCAACTCTAGGAGCAAAGCCGGAGCCTGATCTTTGTAGCACATAGTTTTGGGGGGCTCGTGGTTAAACGGGTAAGCTAGAAACCACTTGTGATAACGACGCGCCTAACTTCTAAAAGGCACTTGTTCAAGCCCGAGCGAGTCGAGACTTTGGCCACGTCGCGGAGCATGCTCAAACAATTATCTTCCTGGGTACGCCGCATCGCGGGACCAGTTTCGGCCTATGGGGTTGGCTTGCGGCAAAGGTCCTCCAGCCTCTCGGGTCGAACCCGTCAATCCTGGCCGATTTGGAGTATGATTCATTTTCGCTACACGACTTGCATAAGGATTTTATGGCGGTGGCTCCAGACGATTTGCGTGTGTTTAACTTCTTTGAGAAGCGGCCGACACGTATTCTCCGGCTATGGTTCGTTCCGCTAGAGCGATTTGTAAGTTTGTCGGATGTTAGCATGGATGGAGCGCTAATAGCAGACACAGTGTGTCCATGAGCAATCCGCCACATATGAGGGCCGAAATGTTCGAAACATTGGGCTATCCGTCGATCACTATGGGCTCAACAAATTTGCGTCGAAGAACGAAAGCTATCAGTCAATACTTTCGAAACTTACCGAATCAATCAGAGCCTCCGCTCGGCCGGTGAAGCATCACTACGCTGTCCCGCTCGGGAGGGTAGGTACCTATACGGAGCGGGTCGGACTGTCGGCGGAACTCGAGCAGAAGTTGCATATAAGGCATGAGAAAGCAAGCGTTCCATATGCAGTCTCTCTTTACGGATTGGGCGGTGTTGGTAAGTCGCAGCTAGCGCTGGACTACGCCGAAAAGCACAAACATGATTACAACCCGATTCTCTGGATAGACGCGACGGACGAGGAGACAGTACGATCTAGCTTTAAGATATGTGCTGCGGAGCTGGGACTCACAGTGGAGGGCGGCGAAAACCAAGGATCGATTATTATGGATGCAGGGGTCCGGGCAGTACTTAGATGGCTTTGCGACCGAAGTGAGGCGGATGACGAATGGCTATTGATTGTGGATAATGCCGACGACGTTAGCTGGGGGATCCAGAAGGTCATGCCGAGGGGAAACCGAGGAAGAGTTATTATTACCAGCCGAGACGAGCAAAGTACCAAGTTAGTCGGCGGGACCTGCGAATCGGTCCGTGTTGGCGACATGTCGCCACCGGAAGGGAGAGCGCTTCTCCTCCGACATCTGCAACTCGACGAAGAGCTGGCCCCTGGGGGCATCAAAGACGACTGTGATAGGGTGGTGAAAAAGCTGGAATTCTTAGCACTTGCCATTGATATTGCTGGCGCCTATATCGGTAGCCATTCTCCTTCTGACAAGGCTTTGCAGCGATACCTCGCGGACTATGAGAGGCACCGCGACGAGCTCCTCCAGATGGACTTTTTTAGAGGGTTATTGGCGACGGAGAAGACGGTGTGGACAGTATGGGACACCACGCTCGAGAAAATCGCGATGGAAAATAAAGGCCTGCGACCTGATGTATTGCTGACGTTTCTTGCACATTTTAAGGGCGGTATTATCCAGGATGAGATGTTTCGTCTGGCCAGTCTTGGCATGGAAAAAGTCAAGGCTAATATGGGGGAAGAGGAGAGCGAAGGGATGCCCTTTGAACTCCAGCAATTCCTTCCACTCGATGGAGACAAATGGGATGATTTTCGATATCAGCAGGGCTGCCGTCTACTGCTCCGTTATAGCTTGTTGCAGCGAGTCGATGGGGGGTGGGCTGGCGTGACAATGCATGGCCTGGTTCGGTGGCGGGCAATGCTAAGCCACCGAAGCTGGCCATGGCAGCAGTGGTATATGGTATTTGTTTTGGCAGCGTGCTGTCAGAACATCGAGGAGGAACAGCCTGATTTCCGTCGACATCTAGCTGGACACTTGCCAGATATTCATGGGGATGATGGCCAGGAACGGGAGTATTTTTTGAGAAATCCAAGTTTCATCGGGGCGACGATAGGAAGAATATATTACGACGAAGGCCGGTGGGAGGAGGCCGAGAAGCTGGACGTACAGGTGATGGAGACTCGGAAGACTACGCTTGGGGCCGATCACCCTTCTACGCTAACGAGCATGGCCAACCTAGCGTCGACATACAGGAGCCAGGGCCGGTGGGAGGAGGCCGAGAAGCTGGAAGTGCAGGTGATGGAGACGAGCAAGACCAAGCTTGGGGCCGATCACCCAGATACGCTGACGAGCATGGCCAACCTAGCGTCGACATACAGGAGGCAGGGCCGGTGGGAGGAGGCCGAGAAGCTGGAGGTGCAGGTGATGGAGACGAGCAAGACCAAGCTTGGGGCCGATCACCCAGATACGCTGACGAGCATGGCCAACCTAGCGTCGACATTTTGGAACCAGGGCCGGTGGGAGGAGGCCGAGAAGCTGGACGTACAGGTGATGGAGACTCGGAAGACTACGCTTGGGGCCGATCACCCTTCTACGCTAACGAGCATGGCCAACCTAGCGTCGACATACAGGAGCCAGGGCCGGTGGGAGGAGGCCGAGAAGCTGGAAGTGCAGGTGATGGAGACGAGCAAGACCAAGCTTGGGGCCGATCACCCTTCTACGCTGACGAGCATGGCCAACCTAGCGTCGACATACAGGAGGCAGGGCCGGTGGGAGGAGGCCGAGAAGCTGGAGGTGCAGGTGATGGAGACGAGCAAGACCAAGCTTGGGGCCGATCACCCAGATACGCTGACGAGCATGGCCAACCTAGCGTCGACATACAGGAGCCAGGGCCGGTGGGAGGAGGCCGAGAAGCTGGAAGTGCAGGTGATGGAGACGAGCAAGACCAAGCTTGGGGCCGATCACCCAGATACGCTGACGAGCATGGCCAACCTAGCGTCGACATACAGGAGCCAGGGCCGGTGGGAGGAGGCCGAGAAGCTGGAGGTGCAGGTGATGGAGACTCGGAAGACCAAGCTTGGGGCCGATCACCCTTCTACGCTAACGAGCATGGCCAACCTAGCGTCGACATACAGGAGCCAGGGCCGGTGGGAGGAGGCCGAGAAGCTGGACGTACAGGTGATGGAGACTCGGAAGACTACGCTTGGGGCCGATCACCCTTCTACGCTAACGAGCATGGCCAACCTAGCGTCGACATACAGGAGCCAGGGCCGGTGGGAGGAGGCCGAGAAGCTGGAGGTGCAGGTGATGGAGACTCGGAAGACCAAGCTTGGGGCCGATCACCCAGATACGCTGACGAGCATGGCCAACCTAGCGTCGACATACAGGAGCCAGGGCCGGTGGGAGGAGGCCGAGAAGCTGGAGGTGCAGGTAATGGAGATTCGGAAGACTACGCTTGGGGCCGATCACCCAGATACGCTGACGAGCATGGCCAACCTAGCGTCGACATACAGGAGGCAGGGCCGGTGGGAGGAGGCCGAGAAGCTGGAAGTGCAGGTGATGGAGATAAGCAAGACCAAGCTTGGGGCCGATCACCCAGATACGTTAACGAGTATGGCTAACCTCGCTTATACTTGGAAAAGCCAAGGACGACACGCAGACGCTTTAGCACTGATGAAGAACTGTGCTTAAGCTCACCAGCGAGTGCTTGGCGACGAGCATCCATACACACTAAAGTCTCTGGCCACCGTAGCTAAGTGGCGTAGTTATAATGGGTTTTTGTTTCATGTGTCGGCGTAATCGAATGCTGCATCCTATCTTATCTTACCTAATATGGCTGAGCGTGTTGGCCAGTGCGCGGTGATAGAAGGTTCTTTTCTTCGCACCTGTGGGCGTTATAGCCGTTGTGGCTTTAAGCTTTCAGAGGTTCTTTCAACGGTTTTTTATCCTCAATCTCTGTTCAGGTAGTTTTGGAGACCTCTGAAGTTGAGGATTCTTTCAGAGGTTCTTACTAGTTTGCCAAAATGTGACGATCCCTTGTTGTGACGATCCCCTGTCCAAAACCTTTAAAAGGGATACCGGTTAAAGGCGAACTTCTAGATAATAGATCGGTGCAGCTAAGTAGTACACAACAATATGTCTCAATGTGTTACGAATATGATGTAGACACCCGAAAAGAACAACTAATTGGGAAGTAGAGACGCGGTGACCAATCAGAGGAGAGGAGAATAGACCAATAGGGAGTGGATCATCCAGGGCATAAGGAGATCATGAATGATCCTTGGGAGTCAGTCACGATCCACGAAGAAACAGAATGATCCAGGTCTTGGCATTAGGTCTATATATATGGAGGAACTAGATAGCTTGTAGATAGTTCCGCAGTATGCAATCACAGTTTGTATTCACGGTATCCTGAGTGTTTACATCGAGATATCTTGTTGTGCACTGTTTAGCTACACCGATCCATTATCTAGAAGTTCGCCTTCAACCGGTAGGTTGGATAACAAGGAAGTGGACCACATATGGATATGGCCCAGGTAAGTTTAAACTACCCAAGCCATCTACCCACATATAACGAACCCCTGTACAGAACCTCTGAAAGGGATACTGGTTGAAGGTAACTTCTAACAATTAGTTCGGTGCAGCTAAACAGTGCACAACAAGATATCTTCAATGTAAACACTAGATACCGTAAATACAAGCTGAATTGCATACTGCGGAACTGTCTATCTACACCGGCCAGTTCCTCCGTATATATAGACCTCAATCCTCCAGGTACCTCCGTACCTGGATCACCTCGATCACCAAGCGCTCCTGGTGATCCATCCTGGCTCACCTCGCTCACCCAGCGCTCCTGGCGAGCCGGCTCACCTCTGCCAGGAGGTGAGCGCCCCACTATCCTGCAGCCCCGCTGTTATCTGTTACTTGACTGGTCACCACGGCCTGCTGCAGTCCCCACTCTGCCTTGCTATATGGTTAGTCTGTGACACCACATTAAACCCTCCACAACCCTGGACCTCCGAAAGCCTCCCAATATCAACACACACTTTATATTCCACCCACAGAGACCAAAAATGAAGCTTTTCTTTTACTTTTTTTTACTCTAGGTACCCAACAATAGCCAAATATACCGAGGAGGATATTAAAAATACCCAGAAAGACATTACCGCTAGTATAAGCCAGCGAAAAGCGTTTAATAAATATGGGATTCTACGTTCTACCCTAAAGCACTATATTAATAGTACTCTACTAAGGAACCTTGCCTATAAAAACCAATAGCGACTTTCTTACGGCCAAAAAGATTTTATTATTTAATAAATCTTTCGTTAGGAAAGCCTTAACTATGCTCCTACCTATACTAATATAAAAGTTTTAGCGGCTAATTTACTAACTAAATAAAACGATCTTAACTCCCTTAATAAATATTAAGTATTATATTTTTGTTAATGTGTGGGTACTACTAAGTGCCTTACTTACTGCCCTACAGATTAATATTATAGTAGGCAGTACTGCTATAAGCAGTAATGGAACTTCCCGGCTTAGTGTAACGAACCCCTATCCAGAACCTCTAAAAGGAATACTAGTTAAAAGTAACTTCTAAATAATCTTGGTTCGGTGCAGCTAAATAGTGCACAATAAAATATCTTAATGTAAACACTAAATACCGTAAATATTGGTTTGGGGTACGGCCACAGGCCTAAGAGTATAAGTAAGGAAGCGGGGCTCTCAGAGGACTCAGGGGTTCAGGGGTTATGTATATAAGCGGTTTGCTTCGGACATTCTATTTTAGACAGGACATCGACTTTTATTCTTTTCTTCGTATTTTGTGCCTTGCACGCGTGCAGGCAATTCTGGCCCTCTGATCAGGCCAATCCGGTGCTTATTATGTGGCCTGCGAGCCCATAGTGTCTTTTCTTTGTCCTACGTGAAGTGCGGCCTGCGAGCGAGTCACTGTCACGTAGGTGTGTTTATTCTGAGACCTGTTGAGGGTATATTTGTGGTGTTGTGGTTGTTTTATATATTTTCTTACCATTTTAAATGGAGGTTGTGCCCGGGTTAAGCAAAGCTTAGGGTCTAAACTGGACTTATAAGCCTTGGGTACTGGAGGAAGTGCGAAGCTACGAACGATAATAAGTACCGATAACTTTATTAAACCCCGCGAGGTTTAACGGAAACGATTTTTCTCTGTCTAATCGGATAAAACTTTTTTATTATTAACTAAACTTTAAACTTTTTACCCGCGAGTAGAGAGTTAAGTATATAATCCGGATAAAACTGGAAAATAAATTAAAAGTATTAGTTAAAACTAATTCGTTAATAAACTTTATTTCCGCGTTAATTATTAAAGTCCTTTCCTATTTTTAATTAAAAAAAATCTTTTTAGTATATTATTTAACGATAATAAATAATTATAAGGATTTCCGGGTTAATTTAATTTAAGATATCGGGAATTTAAAAGTAAAGAAATATAAATACTTTCCCTTTAATTTAAATAAATATAATTTATACTTATATACTAAAGTTATAAAGGATAACTATTTTTATATTTTTAATAATATATATAAAGAAAAAACTATATTATTAATATAAATATAATAATAATTATTAAATATCGATATATTTAATAATATTTTACTTATCGCTTCGGCTAACTTTTCCAGTAATAATTAAAGGTATTAAACTCTTACGGCTCGTTCCGTAATAAAAGTAACTATTCCGGCGGCTAGGTCCCCGGAATTATTATTATTCGTCCTTTCCCCGGCTATAAACTATATTTACTTTAAAAATATTAAAACCTTTCGCCCCTTTTTTAATTAAAATAGCCCGACTATAAAGTTTAACGTTCTTAACGTATTAAATGGACCTTATATTTATTTAAATCCTATTACTTAGAATTATATTACGCCTCTTACTCGGTATACTAAATATCCCGCTCCTCTTCCTAAATTCGCGTATTAATTTTAGTAACCCGGATATTTATATTTTATAGGAGTTTACTCCGACTATCGTTACTTCCAGGGGTCCCCTACGTTTAATTATTTAACCCCCTATCCTATAGTACCTATATATTTTCCTTAATATAAATTCCTTAATCCGAAGAAAGTCGGTTTTAAAAATAATTTTAAAGGAAAATATTTTACGGAATATTTAAAGTATTTCGAAAATATTTATAAAAAGTATTATATTATAAAATTTATTTTTTATATTTATAAGTTTAAATTTTAATATAATTTCGATATAAAAAAATAGATTAATAAATATATAAACCTATTTATACTTACCGATATTTAATTTATTTTAATTATCCGCTTTAAACGTTTTTTTAAAATCTATAACCCCCGATAAAATAAAGATATTTATAGGGAATTAAATAACTTTTATATTAAAGTTATTTCAAAAGGTATAGGCGGAATTAAAGAAGGTTTATTTTTTAATTACTTTAAAATAACTTTCTCGAGTACCGACCGGGGAAAAAAAGGTAGTAAGAGCTAGGGTTATTAACCGCTTTTAAATAAAATTTTTTAAGTTAATAAAAATAACCTTTATTAACCGAAAAGGATCCGAACGTCGTTTAAAATTTATAAATTTTATTATTTAAAGCGATTAAATTAATAATATAATCGAAAATAAATATAATATAGGAGGAAAAATCTATAAGGAGGATAAATTAATTATTATACCTTCCCCTACTACTTTTAATTAAGCGGCCGAGGTACTTAATTAGTATATAGCGGTTAACGCTATAGTAGATAGAGAAATAGTATTATAGTATTTAAGGGCGAATATCTATAGTAATTTCTTTATACCGGGAAACGGCAAATCTAGGATAATAAGGACCCGCGTTTAATATCTAAAAAACTAAGTACCTTACTCTTTAGATTTTAATATTAGTTTTAATAAGAAAATAAATTTATTTTTTAATACTTTCCTTATTATTAATATTAAGATTTAGTTCGGAAGATTAGGGGGGTAGTACCGTAATAACCCTCTTTTATTAAGAAAGTATTTTTAGTACGGTAAAATTAATTATTATATTAAATTAACGAAATGTCCGAAAAAGGAGTATAATGAGGCGTAGGGACTATACTATATTAAAGGAAGTAAAGTATATATTAATAAAAAGGAATAGCCGGAAAATAAAAAAATATAATTTAATTAAAAGGATATAAGGAAAGTGTAATATAAAGGGAAGGTTAGTAACTTAGTTTGTATTATAATTTCGTTAAAACTAAAACTAAATAGGGCCTATAAAGCTTATACGAAATGGGCTAAGTATTAAGAAATTCGTGAGGGTAAAGGATATAGGCCCGAAGTTTTTTTAATTAAAGGGAAAGAGTAAATAGTTATTTAAATAATTAAGGCTATAAATATTAAATTAAATAAGCTTTATAAGTACTTTAAACTTTATATACCGTTTAACGAGAATTTAATTAATAACTATATTATTAAGAATATTTTATAACGCTACTTAATAAAAAAGTAGTTACTTAAAAGTATTTTAAAATACTTTAATAATACTTTAATAGTCGTTTATAATTAAAAAGTAAAAGTAGGGGTAAGTACGTAAAGAGCGAAAAGAGTAAAGATCGAGGATTTACCGAAAGAAGATATAGATAACCTAGCTTTAGCTGAAAATCCGAAAGTAATATTTATCCCCGCGTAAAAAAAATTAAAGGTAATTAAAGAAGGAGTCTCGTCCGATTAAAGAAATAAAATCTAAAGTAATTTAAAGTTACTTAATAGTAAAGTAAAGGACTTTAAAAATTATATTACCGAAAAAATTAAAAAGTACGTTTATA